GTAGCCTATTACTTGATGAATCCCTTATGATATAATCATATGTTATATCTAGCATAAAAATATATTATTACAATCAATCAACACTCGATATTGGATTATGGATATTTAGAAAAATCACATTTTATGTAAAGTGTCTTCCGAACCAAATTGTTTTTTGATATTTTTAACGTTCTAGCACTCGATAATATGTTTTAGATTGACGTTTTCTTGTAGCATAATAATTAAGAAATTCATTGATATATGATATAACCCAGCGCCGATAATTTTTCGTTAAGAAAAATCACATTTTTATTGGAAATGTCTCTCGAGCTGGAATGTTTTTTGATATTTTCAACATTCTAGCACTCAATAATGTACTTTTGATTAACTGATTCTTGTAGCATATTGGTTGAGGATTCCAATTATGTACGATAAAACTCAGCGCCGTCAATTTTTCTTAAAGAAAAATCATATTTTTACGAGAAACATTTCTCTATCTTAACTAATTTATGTTATTTTCAACGTTCTAGCACTCGATATTGTATTTTATATTGACGTATTTTCGTAGCCTATTGCTTAAGTAATCCACTGATATATCATATAACCCAGGGCCGATAGTTTTTCGTTAGGAGAAATCACATTTTTATTTGAAATGTATTTCGAGTCTGAGGTTTCTTGATATTTTCAACGTTCTAGCACTCGATAATGTACTTTTGATTAACTGATTCTTATGGCACATTGGTTAAGGATTCCATTTATGTACGATGAAACCCAGCGCCGTTAATTTTTCTTAAAGAAAAATCATATTTTTACAAAAATTATTTCTCTAGCTTAAGTAATTTTTGTTATTTTCAACGTTCTAGCACTCAATATTGTATTTTATATTGACGTATTCTTGTAGCCTATTGCTTGAGTAATCCACTGATATATCATATAACCCAGCGCCGATAGTTTTTCGTTAAGAGAAATCACATTTTTATTGGAAATATCTCTCGAGTCTGAATGTTTTTTGATATTTTCAACGTTATAGCACTCGATAATATACTTTTGATTAACTGATTCTTATAGCATATTATTTGAGGATTCCATTTATTTACGATAGAACCCAGCGCCATTAATTTTTCATTAAAAAAACAATATGTTTTTTGTGTTATACAAATATAATCATTTCAACAATACAGCACTCGATATTGTTTTTTTGATTGATGTGTTCTTGTACCCTATTACTTGAAGAATCTATTTATGTATGATTTAACCCAGCGCCCATCATTTTTCGTTAAGAAAAATTTGAATATATATTTAAAGTTTTTTTTTCAAATACGGATATCCTCACTTTGTTATTATCATTATTATTGTTATCATTACTAATATTATCATAATAAGACAAATTAAGTAGTAATATTGCTTTATTTTGTGATATCTAACTTGTATGCATTTTCTCACACAGGCTGCTAACTCTGGCTGCTAGTTTCAGCTTCATATCGTTTTCTGGTTCCTGACTGATAAACGAATTTATCCTGGAAGTGTAGTTCACAAATTTTGTAATTTTTACTTAAGTCTTCAACACCCATTCCCAATAAGTTCTCTCTATTTGCTGCTTTAAGCCACAATTCAAGTCTGAAAAATACATAAAATCATTGTATTACCATGTTATGGCAAGGTCAATTCCTATTTCACCCTCAAAGTTTCGTACCTACCTCACTGGATCTTTTACAAGAGTGAACAATCCTTCTTTGTCACCTGTTCTTGAAGTACATCCACGATAAATACAAGTATATCCTCCTCCTCTTTGACGCGGCATTGTTTATAAACCTAATCTTAATACGTACAATAAAGTCTTAAATTAACAACTTCACAATTAAAAACATCTTCAAAAACTAAAAATAAACCACTAAAAAAACGTAAAAGTTATCAGAATATTCGCTAAAAACAACCAAAAATCCAAAACGACAAATAAAGACAGGACAGAAAAAAATATTGATTTTTTTAACAACGACAGCTTCGTTCATCTGCTATAAAAGTTTGCACTGTTGCACTTCGAACAAGTAACAAATCTACGGTTCAATTTTGACAATGCTCCACCATGAAGAAGGTGTGACTTCGTTTACTAGGTTCCTGTTTTAGCCCTATGTTTCTTTTCTGTATTGTTCTTTATCCTGTGGCAATGGTAACTAGGCGAACCTGCATTAAGTCTAAGTATCAATTACACAGCCACTATGCTTGCTAATCCATCAAATCCAACTTTTACATACACTCATACAAATAGATTAGAAAGCGTTTTCTTGCAAAACCCAAGAGCAAAGGATCCTTTTTATGAAAGAGTCAGAAGATACTTTAAGGAAATCCAGTTTCCACTACCAAAAATAGAAATATACAATATGAAATACACCATAGAACCCTGGCTAATTCCCATACTTACCACCAATATGATAAGCATAACACCAATTCGACGATAATAAAAACTACAGGAATTATTGGTAAACTATGTTGATTATGAGCATATAAACACAGATGCTTCTAAAAATTCTATAGGCGTTGGAGCGGCAGTAATTACACCATCCCACAAATTTCTTTATAAACTCTCTCCACATGCCAGCATCCTATCTGCAGTGTTATACGCTACATTAATAAAAGCCCAATCTCACTTAATCCCTTATACTCAATTGAACAACTATACTCCAAGTACCCAATTGTCCAAGACATCAAAACCGAGACCTTCATAGCCAACGACAGAAACAAGGAAATTGCCCTAATCTGAATACCGTCGCACATAGTCATTAGGCATTAGCGGTAACGAAGTAGCTGACTAGTGCGCTCGCGAAACAATAACAGCCGATAACTCTCAAAGTATCCAAAAGGGGTTAAGTGCTGATTTAAAAATTCATTTAAATCAACTGTTAATAAATTTGTAGCAATCTCAGTGGAATCAGTGTAAGTCAAAATTAAATGGAATCAAACCCACATAACAGAAGTGGTTTTGCTATCCCAACAAAAGGGAGTAGCAAGTGATAATGTCACGTTTGCGCCTCGACAACACAAGACTGCCGCACGAATATCTTATGAAAGGTGAACTAATCCCGATTTGCGAGGTTTGTGAAACGATTCTATCAGTTAAACATATTTTGACTGAATGCGTGTACTTCACTGTCCAGAGAACAGACTGCAACCTACCCAACAATTTATTAAATATGCTAGATGAAACAAATTGTAATCATATTTTTAAATACCTAAAAGACATTAATATTTATAACCAAATATAATAAAATTGTTACTGCTGTTGCTAATAATCTTGTATGTAATAATAATAATACTCTCTAGGGAGAATTAGGATTCACCCCTTTACGAGTGAATTTTAACCCCAAAAGCTGAGCTTGTGCGGGGAAAGGGACGGCTATTATTATTATTTGCCGTGGCGCTACGGGGCGACTTAAAGATGATTGATGGTGCCATTCGACTTACAGGTGAGGAAAACCTCACCCACCATCATCGAGACGGTAGTGTTTGACGATTTTTTATAATCTGCATGTCATATCAACAGAAATTGAATTTCTATTAATACGGCACATATCAAATCCTATACCGAACCATGCAATTTAATTAAAAATCCACATGGTCTGGTCTGGGATTCGAAGTCTAGCAGTCTCCGACACATAAACTTGCTTATAAATGAATATAAGCGCGTTAGACCGCTACACCACCGACCCGATTAGTATAGTTGATATAACTTTTTTAAATAAAAATAAAATTTAGATGGGTAAAATGTTCAAAATCGTTAGGACCATACCTTTCAACTAATCGAAAAAAATTTAGTAATAGTATATTACACACCGAGGTGGAAAGAGTTTCATTCCTTTCGTGAGGTTAGCTATGATCTCAAGACAGGAATGAAACTTCCCACCCCGAGGTTTGTATACTATTTTATTTACAACCACCATGTTCCGATCAAAATTATTAAATCTCTGTTTCGCTCTGAACATACCTAAAATATTACATTTAACGACAAATTACCAAGCACGTGCTTTTCTCAGGATAATCAAGTAAATATATTGTTACCGTGACTACGGGGTAAACAATTGTCACCAATATAAATAAATGTCAGATAAAGTCAATAAATGTCAGATAAAGTCGGATATTAAATTCATAAATTCGCCAATAATATTTCAAATTTAACGATTAATATCAATAAGTAGTTTGTGGTATTTTAGTATATTGTTGTTTTCTATTGTTTTGCATTAAATAGATATAAAATTTGTTAAAAAAATGTGTTATAATATAAAAAAATATTCATCTAGAATAGATGAAATAAGGGCGGGAAGTAGAGGTGTGTAATGTGACACTTCCCAACCTTCGATGACTTTAGTAATGACAGCATTACATATTATGGTTGTAAATAATAGTATATTATGCAACGATCATGTAATGATGGTTATTAATACACGAGCATTAACCGGGATACGAAACGAGCCAAAGGCGAGTTTCGTATGGTTTATGCGAGTGTTTTAATAACCATTACATGAGAGTTGCATACGCTATTTTTTCTACACCCGATAAATAATCAAGACCTATAAATATTATATTTATATTGGTATTGAACACAATAACAGTAATTACTCGTATTTCTATAAAAAATTCTACAAAATTGTAATTAATGGTATTACTTCAGGTATTGGTATTTCCCTAAATTTTTGCGGTAAAATATTTTGTACTGTATTTTCTGCTTTCTCCGATATGTGTGGAGGAGTCTTCTATATCGCTAATATCAGACATTTTAATATTATAATTATCGAAGTTTAGCTACCTACGAAAATTTAATACGTTTTGACAACTAAAATAATTACATAGGAACCTAGGACAAACGTCAAACAGCATGCTTGATTGAAAAATTGTAGGTTTCTATTGATTAAAAATTTGTATCGTAATGAAAAATCTGTATCATAATGGGTATCATTATGAAACGGATTATGGGCATATAAGTGCATTATTATAATACGGGTGTAGAAAAAAACAATTATTGATTTCAGGTAGAAAAAAAATTGGCCGAGATGTCAGAATTGACTTACACAATCCTAAGGCTTCCAACAGTATATGGTTTAGGAGACAAAAATGGTTTGATGCCTAGAATAATGGCTACCGCTATTTATAAGCACATGGGCGAAACTATGAAATTACTATGGAATGCTGAATTGAAAATTAGTACTGTTCATATTAACGATGTGTGTAGAGCTATTTGGTTTGTTAGTAATCGAGATGACACAAATGGACAGGTAATGAATATTAGGTACCTCTCAGATATACATCATAATGTCTGAGAAGCATATAATAAATAATAAAAGTTTCGGTGTCTTCAACACATAAAGATTCCGACGGGTAGTATTCTGTATGCCGCATATAAAAATTATTAATATTATTTAATTGGTAGCATCTTTCATAGAACTAAATAAGGATGTTAAGTATGGCGATATAATTTTTTTTTTTTTTTTTTCAAAAAGAGTAATATTAATTTTAGTTTATTAACGCCTAATAATAGATTTCTTTAATTTGTTTCACCATCTATATTTACTTTCCTATACCTACCTTCTAGTTGGTGACTTATTTGATAAATGGTGGATCACTGGTTTTATCTTAATGCTTTTTGTTCTATACTTGTGGACATGAAATAATACACTACATAGATGTATACTTGTTTTTTAATAATACTGCACTTATTACAATTAAACGTTTCTTTCTTGACTTGAACATGGCTCGTTACAGAATGCCCAGAATACAGTTTTCGTGTCGACCGCGCATCGCCTTTTCGCACTATTACATTGCGCACACTCATCAACCTTATGTAGGTTGTGCTTAAATATACACTGCCACATTTTAAAATATTTGTTCCTAACTTTGTTTTGTTGTTTTATTTCAACTCAAATATTGTTTTTGATTTCTCCAACCTCAAATAGGCATATCGGTTTTGGTTTGGTTTTTTAACTTTGTATGTTAAAATTACGTAGCTTATCCGTAATGGATACGTCATGGTAAGTAAATTATTATTATTATTAACCTCCCCCTTCTGTACTTTGTTCAAATATGTTCATTTTTGTATTAAATAATTTTCATCTTTCAATACATTGACTCCATGACTTTCCATTTAGGGTTGCCTAATGATGACTTTGTGATAAATAAAAGACCTTCTTTTTCACCTTCTACTCGATCCCAGCCACTTATAGTCCAATCAAATAGACATTTAAATCAAAATTTTGGAGGAAATACAGGAATTTTTGATATGTCACTTTAGAGTCTTTGAAAACGATGTAAAAAAAATGTGTTTTTCAGGCACCGGCAAATGTCCAAAAACAAGAAAATAAAGTGTTTTTTAAGGTTATTTAAAAACGGTAGATGCTATAAAAAAAGTTCTTAATAAAAATTGTAAAGCATTAAGTTTTACATAGAAATGATATTTGACATTTTTTGTTATTATTAAAACTGACAGAGTTAGGGTGGTTAGAAATTAAGAGGAGATATATATGACTTGGAAAAATCATAGCAAGCTGAAAATCAAATGATTTTGTAGTTTTTTTTAAGTTATAACAATTTTAATTTAGAAATTTTCAATATATTATATGAATTTATATGGTAAACTTATTAATTAGCTTAACTAACATGAAAAATATAAGGAGTGAACTAATAAAAACGACATCCCGACAGTTTGGTCCCCACTTGAAATTCCATTAAATAAATGAATAAAAATATTTAAAAAAATAAAAATGAAAATGAAAATAATAAATAAAAATAACTATAAATAAAATTAAACAAAAATAAATAAAAAGATAAAAGTAAAAGAAAATAAATAAAAATAAATAAAAATAAATAAAAATAAATAAAAATAAATAAAAATAAATAAAAATAAATAAATAAAAATAAATAAAAATAATTAAATAAAAATAAATAAAAATAAATAAAAATAAATAAAAATAATTGAAAATAAATGAAAATAAATAAAAATAAATATTTAATAATGAATATTTTTATTTATTTTATTTATTTATATTTATTTATTTTTATTAATTTTTATTTATATTTATTTATTTATTTTTATTAATTTTTATTAATTTTTTTATTATTTTTTATTTTTAATAATTTACCTATTTTCTTTTAATTTTTTTAACTATTATTATTTTTATTTATTTAAATATTGTTTATTTTTTAATTTTTTTATTTATTTTTATTTATTTATTTTTTGTTTTTTAGTATTAATTATTTTTGTTTATATTTATTTTATTTATTTTTATTCATTTTTATTTATTTTTATTTATTTTTGTTTATTTAAATTGTTTGTTTATTTTTTTAATTAGTTTTTTATTTTTAATTATTTTTAATTTTTATTTTATTTTTAATTTTTTTATTTATTTTTATTTTTTTTTATTTATTTTTATTTTTTTTATTTATTTTTATTTAGTTTCTTTTACTTTTATCTTTTTATTTAATTTTGTTTAATTTTATTTATGTAATTATTTTTAGTTACTTATTTTTATATTTTTATTTAGTTCTTTTTTATTTATTTTTATTTATTTAATGGAATTTTAAGTGGGGACCAAACTGTCAAGATGTCGTTTTTATTAGTTCACTCCTCATATTTTTCTTATCAATTAAGCTAATAAGTTTACTCCAAAATTTATTTTACCATATAAATTCGTATAATGTATTGAAAATTTCTAAATTAAAATTGTTGTAACTTAAAAAAACAAATTTTTTTTCTTAAAAGAAATTTATAATTTTCTGAGTAAATAATAACAAGTATTAGAAATTCAAAATTTAAAAAAACCGACTTCAAAAACGTGTAGATGCCACCACCATATCTTAACCAAATTTATATGGGACCGCTCCTGAAGTACCCCCTTACTAGCAAAAAAAGAATCATTGAAATCGGACACCGTGTTAAAGAATTATCGCTGAACATACATAAAAAAAAATTTAAAAAAATATTTCGGCGAATTGAGAACCTCCTCCTTTTTTGAAGTCGGTTAAAAAGAAACTACAAAATCATTGAATTTTCAGCTCGCTATGATTTTTCCAAGTCATATACCGGGTGTTCAAATTAAAGAGTTACAGTTAAATACCGCCGAAAATATGCATTTTAGAAAAAAAGTTTCAGACAAAAGTTTTATAGTTTTTTGGGGGAAACATTTTGGCTAAATTCATTTTTTTATAGTTGACCATAATATGGCCATATCGAGGTGAACTTTGTTTTTTTAAATGGGAATCCCATCTTTTTCTTACATATTCTTAAAGTACATAAAAAAATAAGAAACTTTTGAGGGAAATATTTTTTTTATTGGACTTTTACTTTTTGTGTAACAGCTACTTGAAAATGTTGCTGCGCGAAAAATAAGTTGGCCATATTATGGTTAGCTATAAAAAACGATTTTAGCCAAAAGTTTTTCCCTACAAAACTATAAAACTTTCGTCTGAAACGTTTTTTTTTTTATAAAAAGCTGTATATAGCTGTAACGCTTTAATTTAGAACACCTCTTCTTAAATTCTAACCACCCTAACTCTGTTAGTTTTAATAGCAAAAAAATGTCAAATATCATTTTTATGTAAAACTTTATGCTTTACAATTTTTATTAGGAACTTTTTTTATAGCACCTACCGTTTTTAAATAACCTTAAAAACACACTTTATTTTCTTGTTTTTTGACATTTGCCGGTGCCTGAAAAACAACATTTTTTTACATATCGTTTTCAAATACTCAAAATACTCAAAAATTCCTGTATTTCCTCCAAAATTTTGGTTTAAAGGTCTATTTAATTGGACTATTACATATGGCTACCATCGCCTTTAATAATTATAATAAATTTGTAGATATACAACGTAGTTGACGACGCCGATTCAACCCAAGGTTCAATATCCAACATCCTAGCAGATATATTCAATGTAAAAGTCGACTATTACGGAAACATAGTGTCCGCAGTAGTCGATCTAGTCGGCGCCGCCGATGATGCCAACGACAAGCATCTAGTCCCTTGGGCCGAAGTCTGTCGCAAAGATGACATCTTAAATACGCCATTATCACCGCACATGGACTCCGAACTACTACTGCACAAACATTTAAGACTGGACGGAGGTAGGTTAAAGCAACTTGGATTTACGTTGTCCGAACCTCGACCCACGGTTGAAAATGTTAAAGAAATTTTGGATGATTTTGTTAAAATGAAGGTTTTTCCTGTCTCTTTACTGCCTTAGGTTTATTTTTGACAAGCAATTTTTACTGATTAAAGCACTAATTTTGTAACGCATTGCCTTAAATCATTAGATAGAGAAATTCAGTATTACCTTTTAAAAATGTTGCATAAAATTATATAAATATGTTATTAATATAAATGAACCATTTATTTTAAAAGTGGTCTAAGTCCATTTGTACTTAAATTGAGATATCTAAGGGTTTATGTAAACTTTGTTTAACTGCATTAATTAAATGTACTGTTTATTCAACTAATGCAATTGTCCAAAAACTGAGGTTAATTTGTTAAATACTAATTAATTCAAATTACCTTCATTACTGCCTTCGGATATTATCGATAATGAATATCTTAATTTAAATATAACTGGACTTGGGCCACTTTTAAAATAAACGACTCAAATGTTATTTATTGGGAGATTGATAACTATTTTTTTTTTAATAATTTCTTAGCCTTCAATTACTGTAGTGAAAAATTTAAATCAATTTAACTGGATAAAATAAGTGACACTCTTATAAAAAAAAGTACTTTTTAGAATCAGCCATACTCAATCTTTTTTTCCTTCAGGCCACATTCGTTTATGTGCTATGTTACACGGGCCGCAATATTTTGTTTTAAAAAAAGACTTAATAATTTTTTCCGGGTTTAGTATTTCCATTAAAGATTTAGATTCACTTTCCATGAAGGTTTCCTTTGTCAAAGGGAAACCTGCAAAAGCTAGAGATTTAACCCAATTAACAAAAATCAATTCATGTTCAGAAGAAAATTTGCTTGATGGTTCCATTTTTCTACAAATTGGAACTTGCCCTTTATGCTTGTCTATTAGCATTATTCTTGGAACGACGTTTTTTTGCTGCAGCATCCCTCTATTTACATCTTTTATAGCAGCTAACATAGTTGCTTTAAAGTAATTTAAAATCTGTTTACGTTCCATATGTAAATAAGAATAAACAAATAAATCAGCAAATCATATTGCTCCAATGCTCCAAAAGTCGACTTGACGAAAGTCGGGCTTTGGATCCACTTGAAATATTCGTTTCAAACAATTAGTAGGCAGAATGTTATAAAATATTTGACATACCTACCAACCCATTTAATATTATTTTAATTTTTTTTAAGTCGACATGCCTGTTGACTACTAGAACTAGATCTTTTTTCTGTTCCAAAAGTGGACAAGCCGTTTTTTTCTTGTTACAAACATGTCCTAACTATCTTAACAAATATATTATGTTGCTAGTACAGTCTTAATTTAAAAGTAATTAATATTTTTAAAACAAAACTTTTTAACATCATTTGATAATACTTACTTCTTACTAAGTCACACAACAACTTTGCACAAAATGGTACCTGATGCACTCACTTTCAATGTTACCTCTCTGTGTCATTAACAATATAAGACCGGGATATGCAACACTCAGTGGGCCACTGGTGGGTACTAACAATGATGCCAAGTGATATATTTTGTTTTAGATTTACAGACGTTTCTTGTTTGTGGTAGTTGTAATATGATCTTGTTATTTTATCTATTTTTATAGTGTTTTAAGCCCTATGATTTTGGGGAGTGGGTCAGGTTATTAAACAACTCGTATTGCTTTGAAAAAGAATGTTGAGCGCCACTATATTTAAAACTTTCTAAACTTGACAATCGATTAGTGATGAAAATACAGAAAATCACTAACCATTAAGATATTATAATTAAATAAGGTTTCAGATAAGGCAGCGACAAATTCTAATTCACAGAGACTTACTTATTCAAATTTAAATGATTTGTTAAAAACTTATCTGTGGTATAACAGGTAGCAGGTACAGGGGATTCGTATGATAGGCTTGGATATCACCAACTGATAATTCTTCTTAGGTAAAGTTAAATCTCGTACACTTCTTTGTATGGCTCGAACTAAACCTCTTGAAATACTTGAAACAACCTTTGTAGCTGGAACCAAACTTCTAAGTTTCAATATTTCTACACATGCAGCTGGAACGTTCTTCCTAACAATCTTTTTCGATAAACTTCTATAAAACCATCGATATAACTTCTACTGAACTTCTACTGAAACCATCTATATACAGCAAGCTACAAGGAATAAGGTAAAAATATCAAGAAGGGATTAGGAAGAGTATATAGGAAACAGATAATGCTTTTTACTATTAAATGAACATTTAAACTATTATTTGAATAGCTTCACAGAGACCAAATTTAATAGGAAAAGAAAAAGTCTTATTTAACACATTTAAATATAGTAAAGCTTATTACCTATTTCAAACAAAATAATATATGAAATTATATAAAACATGAGATTTCTTGTGTGACTCAATGTGTGAGGTTGTTTCAAAGGACAATGGGCAAAAATGTATGGGAAATTGCCCCACCTCCAATAAGGATAAGTTATATATCAATTAAAAGATCTTTTTAAGGAGAACATTTCTCTTCATTACGGCTCATCTCAATTACTTGTCCGTTCCGAGTTATACCATCCTAAATGTAATTAATTGCACGATAGGTCAGTGCTTATATTTTGTTATTGTAGTGCTTATTACAGGAAAATAATAGTAATTATTACTTCTTAGTGGTATATAAATAATTATAATATCCTGGTATATCATAAGATGATGTCGAGGATTTTGTCCGCCATGTGTATCCCCTACCAAATGGCCTCTATGTGATGGTTACACAGCCCTGCAAATGCTCTCCAAAGGACCGACACCAATGGTTCAAGACCAAGGCAATGGACTAACATAATAACACAATTATAAATATAATAACCCCATTTACACTAGAACGAATATAAAGCCATTTGTAATACATACAGGGTGAGGCATTCTATACGCGTCTGTTTGTTTAGTCGTTACCAGGTCAAGCCTGGGGGGGGACAGAATTTATGTCAGCACCTACTAATAAAATAACTTTTAGAGTTAACAAAGGGGGTTTTAAACAAAAAAAAACTGTGTTTTGTCATATGCACTATCATACAGTGTTTCTACTTAAGTGGGAACTATATGGGAAACTTTTATTACTGATTTTGTGAAAAAATTCTCATGTGATAAAAAGTTCTACATGGTCCAAAACTTAAAATGCAACCATCAGATATCAATTTTTTTTTGGCCATATACGAGGTTTGTTAAAAAACAATAATTTTACTCAAGAGTAAAGTACTTTTATTTTTTACAATATAGAAGAATGTTATAAAATAAAGTTATTTTGAATTAAAAATATGCAATTATAACCATTTGGCAATAAAATTCAGGTTTGCTGATTATGTATGTATTACAAATAATTTACAATGTAGGTAAAACGTAAATAATCAACTAACCTGAATTTTTATGCTAAATGACTGTAATTGTATATTTGGATATAACTTTTAAATCTAAATTACTTCACTTTATAACATTCTTCCGTATTTTAAAAAATAAGGTACTTTACTCTTGAGTAAAATTCATATTTTTTGGCAAACCTTGTATACGGCTTAAAAAAATTGAAATCTGATGATTGCATTTTAAGTTTTGGACCATGCAAAACTTCTTATCAATAATATTTTTTTCAGAAAACCAATATTAAAAAAGTTTTCCATATGGTTTCAACTTAAGTAGACACACTGTATAACTCGGAACGGACAGAGAATTGAGACAAGTCATAATAAAAACAAATGTTCTCCTTACCGATATCTTTCATTTGGCATATATCTTATTCCTATTGGGGGGTGGGGCAAATTTGTCCATTCTCCTTTGACATTTTAATAAAGAAATTCTTGTACTAAATATATATTTTCAACAAAATATCGGTAGGAAACTTACCTTTATAAAATCAGACGGTCATTAAAAATATTAAAGACAATTAGTACATCGGATGTACTAGAAAAAAGATAATTAAAATTCAATAATTCAACTTGCTTGATGACAGAGGTAAATCGAAATGACAACCCGAGTTTTGACACAAGGCATAAACGACAAATGACGTTTGTGTGGAGATAGTGGTTTCAAAATAACGAAAACGGTTACAACCGTTACATAGTATAAAATTGAGGTGTCGACTTTTGGAGCACTGTCAGCTAGTGGTATCCTTACCTTACTTTACCGAGTTTTCTCGATCTTTTTATCTTTGAAAATCGACCAAACGGAAATAATCAACCAATAACAAAGTTGCCATGCACCTTTCAATTTTAGGTAAATCAGAAAATTCTAGATTAAAAACATGCCAATTATCTTTGCTTAACTGTAACGACATAGACCTATACCAACACAATTCTGACACGGATATAATGCTTAGGTGTACCTCTTGAGACAAAAGATCGTAGAAATAATGATTTCTATATGTTTACTGTATAAATGCTCTATCAATGGTTAATGCATAAAGCATGAATGGACCCTTAAGTACAAATCGAATATTATATGAATTTCACTCAATCACCCTGGTGCTTTGCTTCTTCTATCTATACCTGTTTTAATTCTCATACAAAGGGTCACTTAGTTATTTTTATTTTCTGATTACCACTGCTGGGATATTCTTCTCAAAAGGTTATGGGCTCAGAATTGCAGTTTTGAAAATAGAATTTATAATTAAAGAAATATTAATAAATCTGGTTGCGCGAAAGAAGGTTTTTCACAATAAAAAACATTTATTTAATATTTAATTGATTAAAATGTACAATGACTGACTTTACGAATAATAAAATATAAAACATAGTAGCCAAGCAAACTTGACACGTTTTTTTAATATATTTTACAACATTGCAGTATTTAAAGGTTAAATTTGAACTTTGATGTTGCGCTAAAATTAACGCGTCTCATAAATGATATACCAGTTTATCACCCAAGTGTCTTAAATGCAACATATTTATTTGTAAAGATTTAGGCTAGATGTTATATGATTAGTGCTTTGACAAACTGATATATACTATTTTTTTGTGATGTTACTACTTATTTGTGCTATTGATTCTTCCTTAGAAATAAGAATTGTGCGTTTGTTAAAAAATTTTAGAGCATGTTGATTCTAATTAAACTGAATTATAGAAGAGAAACATGCAATAGTGCTTTAACAAAAGCGCTAATTTGTTATTAATTATAATAACTTTTTTGTTAGACATCACGTTGACTAAAGTATCACAACCATTCCTCTACAGGGTTTTAGAGATAACAACCTCATACTTTTAATTGGTAATTAATGAAGTAAAATGGGACAAAAATACTTTAAATAATTCGATCCTAAACTCTAAGGTTAAAGCCATTCATGCAATTATATTATAACCTTTGAGTCAAGCTTGCTTCAATTGGCGATTAACTTGTTAAAGAATATTTTCTAAAATATTTTTAAAATTTGTAAAATTAAATTTTGACCAGTTATGTACTTGTTAATAACAGTAATTGTTTAAAAACAGAGACAAATTATTTTGTTAAAACCTCTGTGATATCTGCCTTCTTAGTTTTTCTATATTGTTAAATGTTTGTCCAAATGTATATAAAGGTACTTCCATGAGCAGTTAAACTAAAAAATCTGACTATACTCCATTCTATTCTAACATTTCGATGGTCACAGTGCAGACCTCGTAAGTTTTTATTTTGCATTTTAAATATTTACAGTCAATATGAACAGAACAACATTTGCTATTTACCCAAAATAATTTAAATTATTTAATTTGGACTAATATATGGCTCTAAGTAATAATCTCCAAGTATAAAATGGAAAAATTTATGAAAAACGGTGTTTTTATTTTTTTTCTTAAAATCATGTTAAAAAATATACGAGGTAGTGCTCTGTGGCCCTCGATTTGCTATTTTATTTCATCCATATTTATTTACTCCATTTTCTTTTGAAGTAGGGAAGCTACACAAATACTTGTTGAAGGCCACATCTTTTTTTATAATTTCAGGCCATTATTTTCGTTCCATTTCATGATTTTGTAATGGAATTAATTTTAATGTGATTAAGATTCAACAATTAAACAAATTTTTGAACTTTTAACTGGTTTGTTTTGGTACAAACAGAACTATCGATTCCAGTTCTTAAATACAGTTAACGAATTCATTTTTCACAAATACGTCGCGATAATATAACAACCTATTGAGCTGAATGAATGTAATTAATTGATTCTGAACTAGTTCCTGAAAAAACCAAAACAAGCCTAATGCCTACTTAAAAATCAGAAAATTATTTATTAAACTTTTATTATTGATGCTTAAACAAAGCTCATTCAACTTGTCTTATGCTCTATCAAAACATATATTTTTTAAAATATGTTTGAAAAATGTATTTTAAATGTTTGTTTAGTTGCAGTTGAAATCATTCGAATGTAGTACTTAATATTAAAAAAAAAAACAATAATAATAAAATTGCCTACTAATTGTTATATAATATTGATAATCGTATGTAGTGAGGCCCACCACTCCAGCTTTTGAATGTGTGAATTGAATCATTTAATTAAATTGTCTGTGCGGTTACAAAACAAAAACAAACTGGGTAGGTACTTTGAAATTGACGTTTTCGTAAAATATTACGAATTCGCAGTCAAAAGTGTTTCTTGATTTGAATACACAAGTCGAGTACTTTAACTAAGAGATTGATTGTTCAAATAATATTAGTATTTAAATTTTTCCTAAAATGTCTCTAGTCTATGTTATATTGGGAATGAGGTGTTAATATACTGCGACCTAAAAGATCTATTTTGTCGCTGCTGCTGCTGCTGCTGCATATGTATTTGGTCACCACAACGCCCTCTATTGAGAGTCTGCTTATCTTAATTACGTCCCTTATTAGAAAAAGGGTGTTCCAGGGAACGTGAGTTTCGAGTATCTTTCTATCTATCTAACTATCTAGCTTTCTATCTATCTATCTTTCTATCTATCT